ACATTCTTTGGTTCAGTATTTGTAAACAGCAATGGATCATGCCCAGTGTTTCCTAGACGAAGCACAGACAACTACAATGATCTATATTGATTTTACAATAGACAATGTTGAAAAAGCGCTGCGCAATCTAAAACCATCTCTATCTATTGGACCGGATGGAATATGTGCGTATTTCTTAAAACTACTATGGACCTCACCCCTTTCCTAAGAGGTCTGTAGGGGGCCTGCATAAGCGCACCAACGTGCCCACCGTCCCTGTCCTAATGTTTATTTTTTATTTTTCTCATATGTACCCATTTCATGTGTTCATAACTATGTTTGTACTTATTCCATCCTTGTCCTATTGTTTCTTTTATATTTTTCTTATATGTACCCATTTCATGTATTCATAACTATGTTTATACTTATACCTATTATCTTGTAAGCAATTGACCAATCAAACAAATAAATAAAAAATAAAAATAAATAAATTTATCTTACAGATCAATTTATCTTCAGTTTGCAATATTTGTTGTTTCTTATCACATCAAACACTTTTCTCTCAATGGTGTTGCCTAATGTTCTGTATGGTTTTTCCATTTATTAACTGGTTAAGGTTTTTTTTTAGCATTTTGTTCTCATTCTAATTTAGAGCGACTCCGATCTGTGTACAGCAAATACAGACGCATGCACGCACGCACACACACACAGAAAATAACCAATATGTGAAACATCTATTTTATTTTTTTAAAATTGTCTCTTCTTCCTTCCGGAATCGCAGCCATTTTTTTACTTCCAAGGCGAGTTTCGCTTCCTTGCAAAACCTCTTTGGCTTCTCAGTGCTTTGATTCCAGAGAATGAAATAGAGTTGTCGTGGCAGGTTGTGGGTTTTGTGTGTGTGTGTATGGTTGCGTAGGTGTGTGAGAGTTGCGCACCGGGCTGTGTATGGCTGGAGGTGACACTGCCAGCGGCCTCATCATCTCCACAAGGCCCCTCTGGGCGCTGCCATATCTGATGAAACCACAACTTTTGTGCGTGTGAAAAAGTTGTGTGTGTGTGTGTGTGTGTGTCTTGGACTCCAACTCCCATCGTTCCCAGGCCTGGCCTCAAATGCCCCTGCGGTGTCACAGGTCGGCGAAGAGGGTGGCTATGACCTTTGGATGTGTGTGTGTGTGTGTGTGTGTGTTTGTGTGTATGGTTGCATAGGTGTGTGAGGGTTGTGCACCGGGCTGTGTATGGAGGCGACACTGCCAGTGGCCTCATCATCTCCATAAGGCCCTTCCGGGCGCTGCCACATCTGACGAAACCACAACTTTTGTGAGCCTGCTTCAAAGTGTGTGTGTGTGTGTGTGTGTGTGTGTGTGTGTGTGAGACTCCAACTCCCATTGTTCCCGGGCCTGGCCTCGAATACACCTGCTGTGTAGCAGGTCAGCGAAGAAGGTGGTTGTGACCTTGGGACGTGTGTGTGTGTGTGCGTGTGTGTCGTAGGCCCCGGTGTGGTTGTGTGGGGATTGTGTGTCATGCGTGTGTGCGTGCCAACGGGAGTGAGAACGAGAACGAGTGATGCAAGAGTGTTGCGAAGAAGCTTAAACATTAGTGAAGCGGCCAACCGAGAAGGACACTGTGTGCTCATCCGGCTCATCCGCCAGTTGAAAAAAAAAATGTGCGGCTTGGTCACGAGTTCGAGATCCCAATAAATTAACCCCCCCCACCAATCCCTTCTTTTAGGGGATGAGCCCCTTCGTCGGGCGACCTTCAAACAAGGGAGCATCGGATGAGTCAAGGGAGGGCTGTTGTTGGTCAGCTTGACCTTGGTAGAGCCTCCACTTTCAGGAGCAGTCTACCTCTTATGTCAGCCGTTGGGGAGGGGGTGGGATTTTTTCCTCTCCTTTTCTCACTGGTGTGTCTCATCTGGTGGGTTCTTCCGTCTCCAGATGTTTCTGGCTTCTTCCAAATCTCTTAAAAGCTGCCCAGGGTGTTTATATCTTTAATAAATAAATTGAATTTTGAGAAGGCCAGTCGTTTGCTGAGATTGGGGGTGGGGTGGGGGCCATAACAAATGGAAAAGAGAGAAGGGAGGAAGGAAAGGAAAGGAGGGAGGGAGGGAGAAAGAAAGGGAAAGGAAAGAAAAAAGGAGGGAGGGGGAAGGAAGAAAAAAAGAGAAAGGGAGGGGGAAAGGAAAAAAGGAAGGAAGAGAAAGGAAAAAAGGGGAAAGAAAGGGACAGGAAGGGAAGAAAGAAGAGAAAGAAAGGAACAGGACAGAGGAAGGAAGAAAAGAGAAGGAAGATTTAAAAAAGGGGAGAAAGGAAGGGACGGAGGTAGGAAATAAGAAAGAGAGAGAAGAAAGAAAAAGGGACAGAGGAAGGAAGGAAAGAGAAAGAAAAAAGGAAGGAAAGAAAGGGATAGAGGGAAGGAGGGAGGAAGAGAAAGAAAAGAAAAAAGGGACAGAGGAAGGAAGGAAAGAAGGAAGAGAAAGAAAAAAAGGAAGGAAGGGACAGGGAGGAAGGGAGGAAGAGAAAGGAAAGAAGAAAAAAGAAAGAAAAAAGGGACAGAGGAAGGAAGGAAAGAGAAGGAAGAGAAAGAAAAAAGGAAA